CTCCGCTGCCAACCCAGACAGGCTCTATCTCAAGTGCCCCAAGCGCACCTGCAAGTTCTTTCAATGGATCGACGAACCCCCACGAGGGATCGCCGAAGCGCGACTGATCCACGGACAAAGTTCAGAAGATATTTTGAATGGACAGAGCCCAAACTAAAAAAGGCAGGGTAGCGCAGTGGAAGCGCGTTGGGCTCATAACCCAGAGGTCCGAGGATCGAAACCTCGTCCTGCCCATTTTTTATGAAAAAAACAGACACAGTTTTTTGTTAAAAACACACTCTGATTTTTTAATTCACATTGGGTAATTTGTCTTCCGTATCGATCATCGATCGCATTGTATTTTGATTACATTGGTTGAAAACGCTATAATAAAAGTTTATGACATTGACATAGCGTCTAGCCGTGTTCTTCTGTCTCTCAGTCCAGTGGGTATGGAACGGCTCAAATTGATAACATAACATCATCCGTTGAAATGTCACTCTGTCCACAGGCGGCTTCACTTTCAGTTCCCACACAACGTTCTTGCGAATAGCAAGGATCGCATTAAACAAGGTTCTCTAAAACACTTTCTCAATGATACGGTATTGACGCCGGCTTCTGGTCCAATTCTCTCGTTGCTCGTCCATAAAGAACAATACCTGGTGAAGCATCACCTCTAACTGGCTCGAGTCTTTAAAATGGATGAACCAACGACGGCCCGCAAACAAATCTCGGATTGGGAAATCCATGTCTTCGTAAAAACGAACCCAGTCGTCATCCATCCTATCGATTGTCTCCTCGTAGGTTAGGTCAGGCTTTCTCGGCCGGAAATTGTTCTGAATATGCCTCTCCCTCAAAGCCATAGTGACGCTCAATACAAGTTTTGAAAAAACTCAGATTGAAGAGCGGACGACGCCGATTCGCTTTATGAAGATCCGTCCAGCCAATCACAGATCAAGCCGAAGTCACGTGGGTAGAGTAGACCAGGGGGATAGGGGGTATCCCCCTTCCACGCCCCACGGTCGGAGACTGGGAACCCGTTTCACCGAGCGTATAAAACAATCGGACCGAACCGTTCACGGCACTCTGAGTGTCTTCACTTGTATCGAGCGCTGACAAAAGACTGTGGCCGTTTCAGTTGGAAATCAAGTGAGTATAGCATGGAAGTGTTAGAGCGTTGTAATGAAGAGTTGACTACCTTGGGAAAGCGGGTGCGAGAGTGGATGAAGGATGAAGAAGAGAATCGCGAGACCCCTTTGTACAGTGACCTAGAAAACCTTTTAGGTTTCATCGGGGTGGCCCTGGACGAAATCGATCTTCTGTTCCTAGAAGAGATGATGGGGGTCGCTGAAGAAGATGAGATTAACGATTTAGTAATAGATGTGGACTGGGCTCTCAACGCCTACAAACAATTATTATGAATTTTTACGTTTTTAGACATGGAAAACAGCTGTTACGTCTGTAAGCAATCGCGACCATGCTGCCGCAGACCGATCCTAGAATTGGGTAAACAAGGGACCCACACCAAATTCGTCCACACAGTCTCGGGACCACTGAGAGAAGCCTGGGGATTAGGGTGCGTCTGGGCAACCTGCTGCGGGGCCATCTATGGCATGTATCACAATAAGGAGACCTACTGTTACGAGCCCGTCTTTCTAGGAAACCATTATGAAGAAGCCCTGTCACGTGTCAATCATGTCAAATCGTTCTTGTGATTTAAAAAAGGGCGCCGGTCATTAGGATCGTGCACACGTCCCATCCTGTAATAACAAGTGTAATGTCCAATAAAAAATGTTTATCGTTCTATTTTCAGACTCATGTCATTTCCTAACCCAAGATGTCTTTGGTGTAGTGAAGGATACACTCACCAATACGGGATCGACAACTATTTTATCACCACGTGTTGCGACCAATTCTATCACGGAACTTGTAAAGCCCTCAACAATTGGTGGCTACAACCCTCCCAAAGAGTTTGCCCCTATTGTAAAACCGTGAATTTCGGCGAACCCTACAATGACAACCCCAAAAACAAGTCCTAAAGAGGTAAGCGCTTCGGTGCTCTAACGGTTAAGACGTTGAGTTGTGGCCTCAGAAACCCAGGTTCGATTCCTGGCCGAGGCAGTAATTTTTTTCTCTTTTTTCCATAGAGACCCCTGGCCTGTAAAATTTATTTGGATGAACCCTACCCAGACGAAGATGTCATGCTCCTCTTCCTCACCCAACATTTTCCCTACCCATGGTACCTGAGAAAAGACCTCTCCGATGTCTGGCCCTTTGGACGCATTTTCGAATCCTCCTCAGGCCTTCATGGAGAATTTCTCACCCCCAAGACAATGATGTTATCCCTCGTTCACCTTGGAACCAATGATGTTCAAGCCCTCGAGATGATGAAAAATATCACACAACAAACCATGTACATTCTCTCGTTAAATGAACTTTATTAGTTACAGGCATTAAAATCTTGTGTTTTTTTCACTCAGGTTGTGGTGACGTCATCGTTTTTATAAATGCTTGGTAAGGCAACTCTTCTCTATCACTGCCGCTCCTCCACTCTTTCCATCCGGCATCAAAACTCGCCCGCATCCTCTCCAACTGTGCTGGGGCCTCATCATCCAGAGACTCGTCCTTACGCATCTTAGTAGACAGGACTTTCCTGAACATAACCACGTCATCGGCCAGCTTCGTTATTTCTTTCTTCAGGATATGATCCGTACTGTCACGAATCGCACAACTCATAATCTTTCCAAGAAGATTCTCCTCCACAGCCGCTAACACTCTCGCCGCAAAATCATTCCTCGGAATCTCGTCCGGCAAACCTTTCACGGGAATCTCCTCCATTGCCATCTTTTTTCTGCTCTCGAAAAATGAGTCGAACTCTACATCCACACAACCTTTTATCCACACCCCTAATCATCTCTCATTGGTTCACACCTTATTTGACCATGCATGTGACGTCATCGAGTTTCATTGGCTCGCGCCTTATTTGGGCATGCGCACGAGCGCGTGACGTCATTTCCGGTGGGCGCCATTTTTGCCCCACCAATGCACCATCTTGGATTTGAAA